GTCTCCTACTTTGCTCCTTTTTACAACTTGGCAGAACTGTAGCTGTTTTATTCATAGTAAAAAATCATAATGTCTTGTGTTCCTCTGAGCTCCAGAGTGGAGGAAGTAGTCATGTGCTTCCTCCCTGAATCTCTAGTGCCGGCCACCATGACTGCACCTGGTGAGAACTCACTAGTCATTGACTGATTGTCTGGATGGTGAAAAGAAGGAAGGAAAATTACGTTTTTGGAGGTTCAGAAGGGGAAGCGACTTGCTCCTGTCCATCCAGCCTCTGTGAAAGGCAGCCTCAGGATTGGAACTCAGAGCTGCTCTGAAAGGTTTCCAAACAGTCAGCTGTGTCCTCAGCCCCAACATCTGGGGAGAGCAGAGCCAGGCCACAGAGAGGGGCTGTTCCCTTCTTGTAAGGCTGCTGATGAGGAAGCCACATGACACATAACACAGGCCCTAGGACTCGGCACACCCTGTGACGGTCCCTCCCAGGCTCTATGGTCAGTGCATCACACCTGCAGCCCTGGGAGCCATGCCGGGCAGTGCCACAGCCCTGGTCCTCACTGCCCTTCTGAGTCTAGGTAAGCTTTGGGAGAAAGCGGGGGAATGAGGTCCTTGTGCCCACATACAGGGCCTGGTCACAGGGAGACCCCTGGGCTCAGGATTCTCATGGGGAAGCTGACGCCTGAGGAGAGAGAAGTAATGTTCTCAGGCCCAGTTTGATCCCAACACTGAGGGGCCGAAACCCCCATGACGCTTCTGTGTGGGGGGAAGGACAAACTTCTCATGAGGCCTCTCTCCCAGGGCTGTTCCAGAGGCAGCAGATCCTGGCCCAGCCAGGTGAGTCCTCCACAGTCCTCCCAGCACTGACCTCTGGGCAGCTTGGACAGAACCCAGGGCCTGGGCGGGTGGGAACCATGCTGGGAATGGCTTAGGAACGAAGGCTGAAGACACTGAGAGAAAGGGAACCCCTTGAGACACCAACTCTGATTTCTTTCCAGAAACCCTCCCCAAACCCTCCATCTGGGCTGACCCAGACCCCATCGTCCCCAGGGGGAGTCCTGTGACCATCTGGTGTCAGGGGTCTTCACAGGCTGATATATACCATCTATTGAGAAATGGACAGTATTTCTGGGGTATGACCCTACTGAACTCCAGGGAGAGAGGGGGCTCCTTCATCATCCAGTCCATGGACAGTGACCATGCAGGGCAGTACCAGTGTCGTTATCAGAGCTCCAATAGCTGGTCCCCGCTCAGTGAGCCCCTGGTCCTCACCATGACAGGTAAGAGGAAGGGATCAGAGCACCCCCTCCCCCTCCATTCTGAGCTCCTCCTACAGGTAGAAGAGATGGAATGTGCCCTAAGGGGAGGGACTCATACCTCACAGACGGCCCCCTGGGTCATATGGGGTGACTGTGTCCCCCTTTAACTCAGCTCCCTCCTCTCTCTCAGGAGTGTACTCTCCACCCTCACTCTCAGCCCATCCAGGCCCTGTGGTGGCTTCAGGAGGGAAGGTGACCCTCTTCTGTAGCTCAGTCAACTCCATCCACACTTTCCATCTGCTGAAGGATGGAGGAGTCCTCATGGTCCAGCACATGGACTCTCAGTACCCCATGGGGAGGCACCTGGCCACTTTTCTTGTAGACCCCGTGATCCCCTCCCATGGGGGCACCTACAGGTGCTATGGTGCTTGCAGCTCCAACCCCCATGTGTGGTCACAGGCCAGCAACCAGGTGGATCTCCTGGTCACAGGTGAGGGAGCCCCTGCCCGGCCCCATCACTTTCCCAGCATCAATGATTGACCTAAGCCATGTGCCCAGGGGAGCCCTGCGGGTGAGGGGGAGGTTGGTGATGGTACCCTCCTGGGGCAGAATCACAGAGGGGAGTGGGACAGACCATGTGGCCTCACTGCAGCCCGCCCCCCCATTTCACAGCCATGGTCACTAGTCAGTATGAGCCCCGTGCACAGTGGGGAGTGCGGTCCTTCAATGCCACCTTCTCCTCCTCTCCAGGGGTGCACACGAAGCCCTCCCTCTCAGCACACCCAGGCTCCCCAGTGCTGTCTGGAGCCAGCCTGACCCTGCAGTGCGGCTCAGAGGCCGGATTTGACAGGTTTGCTCTGACCAAAGACGAGCAGCACCGAGGTCCCAGGAACCTTGACGCTCAGCGCAGTCCCAACTTCACCCTGAGCCCTGTGCACAATTCCCACAGGGGCCCGTATAGGTGTTACGGTGGATACAGTCTCTCCTATGAGTGGTCAGCCCCCAGTGACCCCCTGGACATCCTGGTGGCAGGTTGGAGCCCCTGCATAGCCTTACATCTCCACATGGTCTCCTCTGTGTGGGTCCAGGGTTTCCCATGGTGGACATGGGGTCAGGGACATAGGATCCCTTAGCAGAGCTGAGGTGGTGGTTTTGTCTGAGGAAGAGGGAGTGAGAAAGGGAGAGAGGGAGACATGGGGTAAAAGAGGGCCACAGAGAGACAGAGGTGTGAAACAGGGCTCCCAGAGAGAGCACCCCTGAGGAGGAGACAGTGGTCAGCTCAAGGGAGGTGGGGCCGGCTGGTTCCCTGAACACCCTGCTCTCCTTTTCTCACAGGAGCCTATGGGAAACCCACCCTCGCAGCCCATCCGGGGCCCTTGGTGACCTCGGGGGAGAACGTGACCCTGCAGTGTCTCTCAACCAGCTGGTCTGACACATTCCTTCTGTTCAAGGAAGGCTTTGTTGCCCCTCTGCAGCACCTTCATAGGCAAGACAGTCCTGGGCCCTTTCAGACCACCTTTATCCTGGGTCCTGTGATGTCAGCCCATGGGGGCAGCTACAGGTGCTACACTTCACACAGCAACTCCCCCTACCTGTTATCACAGCCCAGTGACCCCCTGGAACTGGTGGTCTCAGGTAAGGAACCCCTTACCCTGTTCCCTCTGGATCCTAATAGTTCAGGACCCTGTCCCTAGGGAAATCGTGGCCTGAGGTGTGAGGGAGGGGAGCTCTGAAGAGGGACTTAGCCCTCAAAGGGATGGAAAAAGGCAGGGCAACTCCCACCCCTGTCTCACCCTCAAGTGTGCTGGGGGTGGGGGTGGGGCTGGACAGGATCAAAGGTCACCAAGAAGAAAGGCCAGAGGTAGGACAATTGTCTTCCTCCCTAAATCCCCAATCCCTGCATCTTGTCATCCAGAGACCACAGTAAGAG